TGGGAGGGGTGGGGCAGGTAGGGCGGAGTGGTGGGGGGCGGCCCGAGGGGGTGTGAGAGGGTCCGGCCCACGCTGCGCCTGGGCTGGGACTGGTCCCGCCGGCGCAGGGTAGCCTTTATTGAATTTTTAAAGCAATCACATTATTTGAAAATGTAGTAATTCAGTCTTCTCATTTCTATTTATAACTCATTTTCCTTGATGTATTACATTTGCCAGAACACTGAAAACACTATTTTATAACAACAGTGACAGAAGTTCTTGTTTTTCTCCATCTCTAATGATGTTGTTCTTATCTATGCTGAGAAGCCTCATGAGTTTCGCTCCTAAAGATAATATTGAATTTATGCCTGATATAGTTGTCCTTAAAATAACTTATATCCTTTCTAATAAGTTAGAATCAATAGAAACAAAGAACAAAAGCTCATCATGGTTTTCCCCACACCAACAATATTTTTCTTAGTGACTGACAGTTATTTCAGTGAAAATGTACACTTGATCTTAACCAAAAGGCCGAGAAGTGATTCAGTGAAAATTTAGATGAACCTCTAAATCTTCTAATAATTTGTTGTAGAAAAAAAAATGATTTCATTTTGGTTTTTGTTGTTGCCGTGGTTACCTTTGCAGAGGACAGGCTGATGACATGCTGGTCTTTTTCATTGGTCACGATTTCAGTGATGCTGAACATGTGTCCCACCAACTTCCCCACAGGCTTGGTGCTGATGTAGGGGTGCCACAGGCGGAGGACCTTATCTTCTCCTACAGAGGAGCACAGCCAAAGATTATACTCTCAATTGGCCAGGGTTCAACCACTTTTACTCCTATCCTTGTGCTTCTAAGCCAGAACCAGTTCCTTCTAGCCTGCCTTCCATTCACCTTGATAAGGGACTCACCTGGTTGGAGGCCTGCTGCTTCTTGTCCAGGTTGTTTTGTGATGATTGTGTTCGGCAACAAATGTGAATTCTCATAAATATTTTATGAGTACTGTTCTCGATTCAATACTACCCTACTCCTTCATGCATTAATGTATTATTTATACTTTATTTACTTCAAAAAGTATTTAAGGCAGCTGTTCTTTAGATTTTACATTCTTGAATTATGCAAACATTAAAATAATAAAAGAAATCAAGAGAATAAGAAAACTGCACAAAATTTCCATCCCTGGAACAAATCAACTTTTTATTTTTCCATTTTGTCTTCAAACACATTTCCATAAGTACATATAATTTATACATAATATTATAACACATATTTTTAAAGTATTAAAAATCACCATGTTACATGGTAAATTATTTAAACAGTATAGAAGGATACAATTTTTATTTAAAAAGTCTTTCTCCCATGATTCCTAGCTTCACTCTAGTTTGTATAGGAAACACTAACTTTTAAAATGTTACTTATATATATGTTTCAGCAGGTTTTCTTTTGTTTTTCAAAACATTTCTTGAGATGAAGGTGTCACTCTGTTTTCCTTGCTGGTCTTGAACTTTTGTACCCAAGCAAGCTTCCTGCCTCTGCCCCTCTGGGAGCTGGGACTGTAGGTGAGCAGCACATGCCCAGTACTTCTTATTTTCTGTTTGTGTTTATAGAAGGCCATGAGCTGATGCTTTCAAAATTATAATTTAGTCGTAATTTCAGCTTCCTTTTTAAAATGTATTTTTATTTTAAATTTATATATACTAATTGTACATATTTATGGGATATAATGTGTTATTTCAATAAATATATTGCAACACTTATGCAACATATCACATACATATATATGGTATTTTAATACAGATGTAATGATCAAGTCAGGCTAATGTGGTTTTACCATTTAGTTTTTTTTTTTGTTATTTGGTTTTTTTTTGTTTTTTTTTTTTGCAAATGTAATATATGCTGGTCTTGAATTTGCTATATCTTGCCTCAGCCTTCTGAGTACTTGGACTACAGCTCACACTGAGCTATACCTGCTAATTTTATCTTCTTCTGTGAACCACATGACCATCTCATTTGCCCAAGATTTGTCAGAATTCTAATGACATTAAAAATGAAAATTCAATCAGAATTCTATGATCATATGTGTATACACACATACATACCCTCACGCATGCATTCAGCTTTCTAATAGAGCTTTGCTAATTGCCCCCTCAATCCCATATCCTCTCTTTCTGGGTACATAGGTAGAATATTTGTTGCCCAGGATACCTTGCAATTAGATGTGGTAAAATTACTGACTTTTAAGCAATAAACTACAAGAATTTATTTCCGATTTCCCATGACTGAAAAGAAAAAGAAAAATGCATTGAGTCATTTACATTGTGAAGTTGGATATATCAGCCTGCATTATTTGAAGGAATCCATAGTTGTAAACTATTTACCTTTTTTTAAAAAAGTAATCTTGTCACATGGAGAGAAAACATTCTCTCAGGCTTTCACAGAGAGCACATTGGCCAAGCAATGGCCGTGATTCATCCACATGGCTGCACTGACAAAGGTTCTACAATCTGAGGTACAGGATCTCAGGATAAATCCTGAGGGGATTTCACTGACCTTCTCAGACCCAAAAGCTACAACTCTTGTTGCATAGGTCCTGCTTTACCTTGGTCTTAACCATCCAGCAGAAAAGTATAAAAACAAAATATAAGAAGTAAGCCATACTGTTATGTTGAGCTGTAGGGGACTCAGGTCAACAATTTCTGACATTGCCAGTCAAGCGGAAGACCCAATACTATTATGGGCTACTGGACTCTTTTAGAATATTTTGCTGAATTTACACACCTATAATATTCAAATAATGGAACTTAACAAAAAAAGGGTATACAGATGAATGTCCATTTTGTATCTGTGTATTCAAAATAGTTAGGATAGATATATAGTTACATTCTCTTGATGAATAGAGTGATTTGTTTTAATGGTGTTTGTAAATAGGATATTATGTCCACATCTTGTACAGCAGTTAACCATTAGGAAGAATGTATGCAATGTGTCAATTATTGAAACTGTCCTACCAATTTGATTTGAAACTATCTCATTGCTATTTGTTTATCAATAAAATTATGGAAAAAAATAGGATAGATATACAGCTACTTTCTCTTAATTCAATGAGAAGAAAGATTTGTACTAATAGTGTTTGGACAGGATATCACGTCTGCATTTTGTACTATGAATAACTACTACAAAGACAACAATATGCAATGTATTAATTGTTGAAACTGCCCTACTAACCTGTTTTGAAACTGTCTCATGCTACTTGTTTCTCAATAAAATTAATAAAAAAGAAAAAAGAAAATAATAATCTTAGGCCAGGGCCAGAGATGGCTCAGTAGAGTAAGCGCTTTCCTGGCAAGCGCAAGGGCCTGAGTTTAATCCCCCATTCCACCAAAAATGAATGAATAAATGAATGATTGAAAGAGAAAGAAAGAAAAAAAAAAGTAATCTTGGGCCAGCAAGATAGTTCAGTGGTCTAAAGTGCCTGCTTAGGCAAGTTTAGGCAGGCACAGGGGAGGGCAATTCAATCCCCTGTACCACATGCCCCGCCAGCCTTGCCCTCAGGGCAGGCTGAGCCGCCCCCCCATCTACACCATTTTTAATAGTGTATAAAATATAGAATATTTTAAAAATATTAGATTTTCTATTTCACAGCCCATTAAAAGTTATCCTGAAAGATGAGTCATAAACATATCAAATAATTTCAAGTGAGGAAACCCCAGAAATTATGGCGACTCAGGGTTGGCCAATTAGCTCAATGGACTAAAGTACATGCAAGCAGGTGCAGGGGCTGGGGTTCAAGCCCCAGGCCTGCCATGCCAGCCCTGCCTGTGGGGCGTGCTGAGACTGGGGGTGGCGGTGCGTGCCTGTAATCCTAGCTCTTGGGAGCTATAAACAGGTGGATTACTAAAGTTCAATTTAGTAGTGAGACCCTGAACACCCTGTAGACCCTTCCATAAAAAAGAAAGAAAGAAAGAAATTATGGCGACTCAAACTGATTAAAATAGGAACCAAGATATTTTCAAGACTATCGTAAACATGTAAATGAGATATTACTTAAATTTAAGACTTCATGCTAACCTATTAACAAGAACAAAATTTTCTTGAAAAATTACAATGCACTAATATTGTTAGATATTAACAATACAAATCAACTCTACGTATTGTCCTTGCCAAAGCCTACATGTCCAGAACACTAAAACGTATTCTTTGAGAGTTAATTCCAAGATTTCCTCTCCAGTGCCTTCCCTGACCACTGTTCCAGACCCAGATGTGTTCACCAGATGTTTTCATTAGGTTTCTTTTATAGTACAAATCCTATTCAATTACAGGTGTTCATATCTACATATTGTTTATCTAATGAGTTCTGTATTTCACATTTGTGGTGATGCTTGACAAATCAAGTCAATTACTAGAGCCACTCATGAAATACTAATACATATTTTGAGTAAGTCTGGCTTGCTTTGAAACTTGGCTCTATCACTACTAGCTCCATGACCTTGAACAGGTTGCTTCACCTTGCTTGGCTGAGCTGCATCACCTATATAGTGGAATAAGTGAACTTTTGCCATAGTTTAATTTTCAGAATAAATGGGATCACCCAGGTATAACTGAATAATCCCAAGACTATAAGCTGAACATTACTACTGTTAAAGTGCTACTACTACCATTATATTATTATTAATAGTATAATGATATTCTAAAGCCCCATATGCACACACACATACGTGCGTGCACGTGCACACACACACACACACACAGCATGCTTCCTGCTTCTGAGTGTTTATAGTCCAGTAATAGCAAAAAGACAAGCATCAAATATTACAGAAGGCAAATAAATATTCAAAGGTGTCAAATCTGAGGATGGGACTTCATAAGTAAAGTAGTTCATAAGTGGTTAATTCCCTTTTTCTTTGTTATTTTCCCTTTGATGTTTTTCCTTTTTACTAAGCAGGATTTAGATAAAGCCACTCATCATTTATAGGATTTTCTTTCTTTTAGCAAATGCTTATCTGAATTGGTGAGTCACTTGATCCAAGTACATCACTGCTGATGAAATGAGCCAGCTCAGTTCACAGGGGAGAGAGAGAAAGAGAGAGAGGGAGAGAGAGAGAGA